GGAGACAGGAGAGGTCTGCTACTCCATGTGGGTCAGCTCCCTGGAGGGGGATTGAACTCAGGCCACATTGGCTGGCGATAGCCCTGTGCCACCAGGGAGGCCCTTAAATACTCTTTGATTAGAATACTTTTGAGTGGAAATCCAATTTTACTTATAAGGGGTTAGAAAAACTGACAATATATCAAGTAATAGTTCTAATATATTTCAATCAAGAACTTAATTTCTTTACAATGTGAAAAGAATCTGAATTCTATGTTGGAAATATGAACCAACTTTCTATGCCCAAATAAATCACTAATATGTTCCAGTTTGGCAGACTTGTCCCTGTATAATCCTATGGATGTGAAAGTGTATATGGGAAACACCAAGATCATTCTTTTATGAAAGGAAACTGGTGTTCTCTCATGCCCTATACTTTTTAAAAAGCTTAAAGGAAAAAGAAAACACTTTATTAATTCATGTTTTCAAAACAATTGTAGTCATTTTCCTGGCTGGAGATTAAAGTATTACACATTATAGCGTGCATGTCTACGATAAGAAGATTACTATAGATCATTCCAAGAAGAGGTGGAGGGAAGATTGCACTAACATTAGCTCCTCTGATATTTGCAGGCTGTAAATTTCTTTATATGATAGATGTAAAGATGGAAGACAGATGGATAGAGGAAAAGACAGAATCAGATACTGGATGAGTTAGTACTGCAGCCTGTGCTTCAGAGCTATCTTATTACCACTAGGCTTGCAAGCATCAAAGTCCCCACAGCCCCCACTCCCTCCCCCCTGAAATGTACCGATTTATATGAAAATTAAGATTACAAATTAAAGTCTGGCTATCCTGGAGTTTTCCAGTTCATCAGCCATCCAATAAAAATGATGTCAAGCCTGTATGCATAATTCCCAGAAGATTACTTTGTCCTTACAGCTAAGCCCTGTCCCTGATATAAAAGATCTCTATCCACTTTTATTGAAATAAAGAACTAACATCATAATCCCAGTATGGAGGTATAATCTTCATTATCTCCTGACCCTCTTGAGGTTCTCCCAATCTATATTACTTCAGATTTGTCTATTTATAATCCTTATGTATTTACCTTTATTGAGATAGGATTAAAAACTGAATAGAGCTCCAAAAAAATCCTTATGATCTCGTGAGTGATTTTCAATTCACCAACAATCAACTAATGTGTTAGACTGTTTTTTTAAAAGTGGTTCTTATAGTTGTATACTCTAAGTTTGAAAAGGCATTAATTGGTCCCCTGAGTATCCCCATTTCATTAAATGAATTATTTCCAGTCCAACCTGGTTTATGAAATGACAGCAGCCCCTTTTCCTATTTAAAAAAGCTCAGGGAGGAGTGTATGAAAAAATAGACACAGATAGAATCATCCAGAGTAACTTTTATTTCTTTTCTTAGGAAGTTTTGATTCATACCTATAGTTAATTCCTGGTAAACCAAAAGCCCCCACCTTTTCTCACCGCCCCCCCCCCACAGAGTCTTAATGGCCTCTGGCTATGCCTCAGGCAGTTAACTACCAAACTAGTCATTAATACTGGTCAAGATGATTTCTCGGAGATTATTGCTCATTTATTTTCTTAATAGAAAAAAAAAACACTTTATTCTGCATAAAGAATGAAATGTAACTTTAGTCATTTTCCTTTTGAAATTAAGAAGTACCTGTGAAAATCACACATTACTGTGCTATTATTAAAGCATTTCAAACATTATTTTACTTGTATTTCTAAAGTGAAAACTGTTTGCAATGCCCTGGTTTTCCACTTTAAATACATTTTTGCTATTATATTTGAGAACACATCTTGATTAAGAGATTTGATAAGTATTCTTTGTATTTGTTTTTAATTTTTGTGCAAGGAAGTATTAGGATAATATTATATAGTTTTCAGATTTTAAAAACAGAGAAATAGAAGTGGTTTCCCAAAATTGTACTGGAGTGTTTTCTTATTTGTTGATTGTAAGAAACCTGTGTTCTGTCATTTGATAAAAAGTGTGAATGTGCTGTATTTATTGGCTCAGTAATTCCTCACCATTCCTTTACATTCCTTCATGTTTCTGCTTGGACACATTCAGAATAGACTAGAAAGGAGAAGAAACCGGGCAGGTTTAACTTAGAATGTGTGAGATTGACCACAATACAGTTATATTACCCATTAACTTAATGCAGTTAAGACAAAGATGCTAATCACTTAGGCACATGAAAACTGTGATACTTTAGCCTTAGATGCTTACTGATTTTAACCTATTACCCCTCTCTAATTATAAGGAAGATAATAAAAAATAGAACATGTAAGCAGCATTATAATATATATTTGATTGCTGCTTTTCATGCTGAGGAAAACTTTATAAGGTACATACAGGCATGAGAAATTTTAAGGAATTCAAAAACTATCCTTACCCTCAGTATGTACATTTCCCTAAAGTGATCCGCTTGAGTGCACCTCCGTGTTATTTCTCACATTTCCTTCACACAAATCTTTCTACACTTTACAAAAGACAGGCATACTTCTCATTTATTGAGACTCTAACTAAGTTAAGTATATTATCCCAGCCCACAAAAATGTCTTGGATGCAGAAGGAACAATTAGAAATACTTGTTTCCTAAATGCCTCCTTTATATGAGTGTATAAGTTTTCAAAATTATCAGTAATATCTATTAACAAATTTTAATTTTTGGACCTGATTTTAATAATATTGGGGGCAAGGGGATTAATACTTCACTTTTATTTAGCCCCTTTTCTTTTTAAATGAATATATATAGAGAGTTGATTTGCTACATTTACAGGCATTCACTCCTTTCTTTATATTTTATCCCTTAATAGAGTCACACACATGCATACATTCATCATTGCCAAAACACTGATTTTTTTTTCTGGATAACTAGAGAGGAGGAAGAAAATGATCACAGTTATTTTGCACCAGTTTGGATTTGGGAATAAAAGTCTCTGAAAGTAAAAATGTTAGTGATAACATTTACATGTTTTTCTACAAATGACAGTGCAGTTTTTCTTTTCTTTTCCATATTACTACTTTACACAATAGTCCTGATGGCATGGAAGTTATTTTATCTGTTTTATAAATGAGAAAATTGACATGCCAGAGGATATCCAGGTGGTAATAAACCAAACTTGGAATAAAACTTAAGCCTTGGGAATCCAAGGTCTATGGCTTCCCACTCTATTAAACCATCTCTTGCAAAACCACAATAAAATATCACCTCACATCTGTGAAAACAGCCCACGTCAAAAAGAGAAACAAGTGTTGGCAAGGGCATGAAGAAAAATTAACTCTCATACACTGTGGTGGAAATGTAGACTAGTCCACCCTGTGGTAAGTTTGGAGGTTTTGCAAAACATTAAAAATAGATTTGATCCAGTGATCCCTCTTGTAGGTATCTACCTGCATAATAGAAAAACACTAAATTTGAATGGATATATACACTTCTATGTTCATTGCTTCACTATTTAAAATAGCAAAAAGTATGGAAACAACTGAAGTACCTAATGACAGATGAGTGCATCAAGAAGTGGTGCCATGGATCTGAGGCATACAGCAAAAGAGGTGGGGGTAAAACAGAATGGGGGGCTGTAGTGATAGATCATGGGTGCTTTGGTGGTGGGAGAACTATGGGGACCACACCTGTGGGGAGAAACCAATTACTATATAAAAATATAAAAATGAACAACAACGTAAGAAAAAAAAAAGATGTGGTACATATGAACTATGGAATTCTATTCAGATATAAAAAAGATTATATCTTGCCATTTATGACAATATGAATAAAACTGGAGGGGATTAAGTTAGTGAAATAAGACAGGAGGAGAAAGAGAAATACGGGATGTTCTTGGTCGTATGCAGATTAAAAACAAAGGAATTACAAAAGCAAATCCTTGATATCTGAATGCAGAAGTGAGGCTGCAGGAGAGGGTGAGGGTAGGGAGCCAAGCAGGGAAGGGGAGGAGGCCCCATGTACTCTGAGGAAGATTATTGGGGCTTTGGTGGTGGTTGTGGTGTGGTAACATTCACTTGAGAGGTGTGAACTTACACCCCTAAAACCCATACCGTGTTGTGTACCACTGTTAACTCAATATATATTACGTAAGAAACAAAAGGAATGTTATGTAAATAACTTTTATAAAAAGGTCCTGTGAGCAGGAAAAAAAAAAACTTTTTTTGAAAATTGCTCCACTTGCTAGGGATGATGTTCACTTGGTAAGCTTTTATCACATGCAATTTAAGTGATGATTCCCTCTTCAAACATGTAAAATGTTTTAATTTTGGTTAAAAAAGCAATGCAGGTATGATTTAATCATGAAAGAACTTTTTTTCCCCAAACCTCACAAAATTTAATTACTATGTCCATATAAGGCAACATGGTGTTTAAATAACCCTTCTAGTGTCACTCCAGGAAATGATGTGTCTTTTAAAGTTTCAAAGAAGCATTCATGTCTAAAAAGAGTGTGAAAAAGTACCTTGATAAGTCAGTTGGTCTGCTTCATTGGCTTGGGTTTTTGGCTTGGGTGCTGTTAATAAAAGTCCTAACTCAGATCACCCAATTGATGATGTAATCTGAGGGACAAATGACAGGAGTGGAAGGGCATGTAATTTTCCAAACTGGCCTAATGTCTGGTCCCTGACTAAATATTGCAATATATCAGTTTTTTGTTCTGGGAAAAAAAAGAAAATTTCATATTGTGATTTGTGAGTGTTCTCACTCTTCAAGTTTGTACTGTACACCACTATTGCCAAATTGCAGCTATTGTTGTCTAAAATTTGGAGAAAAGACAGAAGGATAAAATACAATTAACATGTGCTAAAGAAAGGGGAAGGGAAAAGTTAATGTTAGTGTTGGCTGATTAGGGAAAGAAAGGATGGCAGGGGCAAGTAATGACAACCAAAAAAATGCCTAAAAATTACACATATGATATAATCATATTTATGTAAAATACATGTACAATAATACACATGTATCAAATGATCACACTTATGTGAATTCTATGGTTGTATAGACATACATTTTTTAAATTTCTTTAATAGAACTATTTTTAAGAGCAGTTTCAGGTTTACAGAATAATGAACATAAAGTACAGAATTCCCAACATATGACTTCAACCCCTCTGGAATATATTTTATAATGAAAAAAAAAAATTCTGTTCCGAGTTCTTTGCTTCTTTTGGTAAATTAAATCTGAAAAGTATCACCATGGAAAAGTGCTCTTCGATCTACCTTTATGAGGAATTCAAAACCTTGAACTTAACAATGATTTTCAGATTGTGGTTTGCAAAACAATCACCTGGAGGTTAAAAAGAGGATTCTGATTTGTAAATCTGTTTGTGACAAAGAAACTGCATTATTAACATAGCATCTGGGTAAGTTTGATGCAATATGTCTGTGCATCAACTTTGAGAACTCCTGGTGGACTAGAAACCCTTATTCCTAGATCAAAAATCTCTCTTCATCTGCTTAAAATTCTGAGGTTCCAATTAAAAACAAAAAAGACTGTGCTCCAATATCATCATGGAAAAGTTTTGTCGTGTCTAGGATAACTTATAGGCCAATGAAGACAACAAATTCAGTGATAGTTAAAAGTGAAATTAAAAAAAATCTCATACTGGCCATTTGACAGACAAGGAAATATTAACATATCAAAGCATTCTAATATAATGAAGAATATAATGTTATCAATATATTTCACATATTATATATATACTTTGTTGTTCATGTTTTGATGAAATTTATCTAGATTTCTTATTGAACTTATTAGGCCATTGCCTTATGTGACCAAATTCAAAAATCAAACAAGATTGGTGTGAACTTGTATATTTAAGAATGGGATTCTAAATTATTTAGGGTCTAATCCAAAGTGAACTGAAGGTGAGTCATAGGAGTTTTGGGCTGCAATTTCAGGGTTGGATATGAGCTTCAAGGCCCCTACTGGCCAGCTTGCTTCCTTGACCAGCAACATCAGCATTGTTTAGGATTTAGTTAGAAATGCAGACACTTGGGTTCCAGCCCAGACTGAAACAAAATCTGCATTTTTAACATGATGCCCAGATGACTCATCTGCACATGAAAATGTCTTTTTGGCTATTTCAGAGTCTTGATCCTTTTCATATTTCCCCAGGTGTGCACTAATTCCCAGCCCTGTCTCCCACTTGCCCCTACACATCCACACACCCCATTATTTTTACTTTAGATGATTATCTCTTACCCCTTATTCTATTCTGAGCACACATAGATTCTAGCTAGTTTACCTACAGGCTTCATTCACAAGTTTCTTTCTTTCAGTCAAAGAAAACTTTGCATCTTGATGATTGATATTTCTGAACAATTTGCTGACAAACCTGAGTCCACTCTGTAACTTCTTTAAGACTGCAGGTAAAGGAGGCAGTGTGGTCATTCTCTACAGCTATTATGAGGAATACATTATCCTACAACCTTGTATACAGCTTGCTTTGGCCTCTTTAGGAATTTGTTTATGTAAAAAGCAGTCAATCCATTCAGAAACAAACAAACGGTAATTTGTCCTATCTAAAGAGAACAATGCTATTACAAAAAGTAGTGTGTCATAGGCTCCCACAATTCCAGTGTTAGAAAAAGCAACTGCTGCTGCTATATCACTGTTATTACCCTGGAGCCACTTGGGAACATGCTAATTTATGTCCAAAGCAATATTAATATTGTTTTATTTTACTTTCATTATCTAAATAGGAACAGTCGAAACTAGGTAGGTTGCTATAATTCCGTCTTCTAGTATGAGACTGAGAAAAAGATATAAAGGTGGCAACAAAGTAAAACAGCCAATGGTTTTAGTAACTAACACTGCAAAAGTCAGATATCATTTCTTATTTTCTAATTACTCCAACTTCTATCATCAAGTTACTAGAGACAGTTATATGTCTGGTGCTAGAGAGAAATCATTCAGGTAAGCTGAGGCTACTCCTTCTGTTTCCCCATCTGCTAAGCTGTTAACAGGAAGACATATTGACAAGGGCTCAAGGAAAACATGGAATATTTCATCAGTAAGATTATGCTGCCCTAGAGACAGATGTTAGAAAGCTGTAATATTTAAAAATAAAGAGATAAACACATGCTTGAGGGAAAGAATCAAAACGTTTTAGAATTGGGAAAGAAAATTAAAGAGAAAAAGGAAAGATGGGAAGATGGAAGAGAGGTGTGCATTGGCATAGGAAATGGCAAGTCCTTGTTGTGTAGGAAAAAACATTTATATCTGCCTCAGGCATCATTTACTATTAGGCAGGAATTCTTAAGAGTGCATTGGGGTAGATCTGTAAGAAGTGCTTAGGAAGGCTGATTATGATTACAGAACGGATTCCTCAATTGTCATCTGATGGTTAATATCAGGCCTTTGACTTAAATCTATATACATTAGTTCTCATTAAAATTAAACATGAAAACTGTTACACTATAGTATTTTACATTCAGTGGCTAGAAAAGCATTAGGTAATGATAACTCTGGATTTATCTGGTGATTTTCATTGGCATGGTCAACATATTGTGTCTTCACATATTTTTTACTGGAGAAAAATAGTAAAAGGGGATTATAATGGGGGGTCATATAAATATTTACAAGTGACATACAGTTGCCATGTAGTAAGTCAACACTTAACATTTATGAACAGCAGACTGTCTTTTTCTGCTAAAGTTTTCACATTTTAAAAGTACAGAGTAGCAACAGGAATTTGAAATAAACTCTGGCCTTGAATTTAAATAGATTTGGTTTTAGATTCTAGTTATTTGTTTCACTTCTTTGAGCTTTAGGTTCCCCGACTATAGAACAGGTGAACATATCTACTTCCTAGGATTTCCGAAAGAATTACATATATTATTTATTAAGGCTCTACTATCATGCACGAATATTATAGGTATTTAATATATGGCAAGTTATATCATTACCCAAAACAAATTGACACAAGCAAGTATATAGATATTCCAATTTAATCACTGGTTGTCCTTTTTTTAAAAATTTTCAAATTTTGATTGCATAGTAGAAGCCCCTACTCATCACTTTTGCCCACTGGGAAGGAAAACACCTCCTCAAGAAAGGGGAGGTGAGTTCCCAGAGAAAGGAGGAGGAAATAAAATACTTATACCAGAAATGAGGAAGAAAAGAACGGAGCATGACTTGATCTGACTTGATGGTCCTAACCACCCCCTCAAGGATGAAAACCCAGATAAGTAACTGGCAAAAACTGAGAGCAAATGAGTTGGGGGAATTTGTCCTGCTTCCTGTTCAAAATTCTAAGAAGATACAACCTTGCTAGATAACCACACCCAACATGGGATCATGACCAACAGAATAAAATGTCAGCATGGTGTAAGAAGGACACGGAAAGTTCTGTGATGGCAGGATGCAAACTTCTTGGTGCTTGTGCAGCAGGATTTTGTGTCCAGGCATTCCTTTATGATCCCTGTAGGAGATGTGAAGGTTGTGGTTGAGAGCTGAGAGTGAGAAGCCATAGGATCATCTTCGATAACCCCAGAAGAGATGCTGCAGAGAAGACAGGCTAAACCAGGGCTCAGAGAGGAGATATGATTGAGACATCAGGACCTGCAATTCTGTTGGAAAGTAAGAAAGCAAGTGAGCAAGAGAGGATTATAAGCTCTAAAAGAATATAATACTGTTTTAAGCAGTGACACTTTAGCAGTAAACCAACAAGGTAGGAGTAGCTAGTTTCCATTAGATATATCTTAGAAGCCAGTGAGAATTCAGGTGATAGCACAAAGATCTATATGTAGATCTGGGGCTCTCCCCTCCCTGCCCTGGGGACACATGAATTTTTCCAGGAAGCTTTTTAGAAGAAAGGGGAGGATGGAGATGCTGAAAGACTGAAATCTACCTTAAAAATCCTACTTTGAACCTAAAGAAACCAAGATACTTTTGTTGCCATCTTCAAATCTTACCCCACTGAAAAATAAATTTATTTCAATTCTAAAGAAAATGAATGGCCTTTTCAGCTCGTTAAGCCAGCTGCAATGTGTCAATTTTATGAGACCTAGAGATGAAACCAAAATACCCATTGTAGCCCCTTACTCATAAATTAAAAAATGCCCTAATTACATCAAGTAATAAGTAGCACATTATATACATTTTTTTTTCTCCTTTTAAAAGTCACTGCATAGGTAATTTGGGAGGTTTCTTCCTTCTTTCATTCATCAATGAATATTTACAGAGTATCACATATATGAATAATGTGCCAGGAGTTAAGTAAACAAAGACAAATGAGACATGGACCTTATCCTTAATAAAGTAGGAAGGTTGTGTGATATATGAATGGAATACATACATTACAGTCAATGGAGTATTGCTACCCATTACCAAACAACTGCAAATAAAATTACAATAGAATCTTACAACTGTAAAGATGCATTATCTTTTCTTTTTTTTTTTTTTTAAAGATTTATTTATTTATTTAAACAAGCACTGGGTACAGTTAAAACATGGGAGGGTGAGAGAATTCACCAGAGATAGAGCGGAGAGCAGTAGAGGCAGACTGACGAAATACACTGCTGAGGGGAGCAGTGGGAGGCAGGAGAGGTCTGCACAAAATGGGGGACCCTTGCCCGGCTGCTGGGGATCGAACTGGCGCTGCAGAGGCTGCGGGCAGCTTCGCAACCCAGGGCTCAACTGCTGCACCACTGGGGAGGCCCCTGCATTATCTTTTCTTACCTATAAAATGCACATACAGAAGTGATAAGATAAAGGCTCAGTGTTGTGCAGAAAGCAGTTAAAAAGTATTTTCGTACAAAATAATAATTATAGAAAAATCAGTTTTCAGAGTAACAACAGTAAATCAAGTTGCAGGACAGTCATAGGTATATAATACAAAATCTTGTTTGTTTTAAATATATTTACTGTAAAGGAGTAAAAAAATGTAAGAAAGATATTTTAAAAGTCAAGTAACACTAATAAATGCTGCTAGGTATTTTTTAATAAAGATTCCTTTTAAATAGAAATTTCAAAATGGAAATATTGTAGCCCTTAATTTATGAGCTTATTAAAATAGTTCAAATTTTTACATTTCTAGGATTTCCTAAAGATAGGCAATGGAAACCTGAAAATTATTTTGATTATTAGCATGACTTTATAAACACAAAAGAGAACTTTACAGCTTTACTTAAAAAAAAATCTTAGGGTGTCCTGAGGATATTAATCTATAGAAATGGCATTGCAGAATGGTTTCAAAAAGATTATTTTGGCGCTCTGAACCACTGCCCATTCACAGAATTTTTAATATCCTCTATTCCTTTCCTCTTTCACTGTAAAGCTCATTAGATTCTATATACTTGAGCATAAAGAAAGTACACAATTTAGGAAAAACCTCTGCTTTTCTCATTTACCTCTGATCAAGTTGGTATTTCAGTCATGTAAATACGTATCATACACTGATTGAAAAATGTCATTGTTAGGATTATAAATAATTCAACAAATGATATCTCTCTGATTAGTATTTCAAAACAATATCTTATCTCTTCCCAACCCCCTCTTTATCTTCATAGAGTGCAGTTGTATTTGAAATCTATGATTTCTGGCATATCTGGGGTAAGGTTATACTAGGAATTTACCAGACCTGTCAGTCTCTAACTTTCTTCCATATTTCATTATATCATTTCAGTTATAATTAGTTGTCTGGTAAAATTAAGAACAGTCTATTTCAGTGAATGCTCATGTGAACATTTAACAACTTTTTGTTAGGATGACAGCTTAGTGACAGAAAGAATAAACCAGAGAAGGAAAGCCACTGAAGTAACCTTGGTTAACGCAATACTACCAGCTCAATGGAAAATTCTAAGATTTTGCATTTTTTTTGGTTGTTGTTATTAACCATCAAGCACATATTTCTTGTCAGGAGATGAGCATCAGTTTGATGGCACTCCTGCCTCAACTAACATGTTTTGAACTGACCTGTCTTCATTGCTTTGGCTCCCTAGAAATTTTGCTGTTGATGAGCGTTGATTCAGCTGAATGCTTTGACATTCAGCTTGTCAGTGAGAGCTATTTTAATCATTAAGATGCATCTCCTTTCCAAGATTGCAAACTGTTGCTGCTCATACACAATATTCTATCATTTGACTACTGTGGAGAAGAAAAGAACTTGAATGGGTACTATTACTACAGTTTATATTCAGAGCTAAAATTTATAGACTGTTTAACTGTATTAAGGTTTTGTGTTAAGCAATACACAGGGATTGTCCCTTTTAACCCTCACTATAGTAGAGTCTCACTACCTCAGTTTGCATCCCTGTTCTCCATTTACTGACTGTATGACATCAACCCTCATGTATTAAATGGAATAACAATAACTACTTAAGAGAGATATTATTAGAATTAAATTAGACAATTCACCAATGGCCCTTAAAAACAGCATCTGTAACCTAGTGTGCTCTCATGTGTTAGTAGTTGTTATACCCATTTTGTAGATGAAGACACCTATCTCATTCATCATCGCTTCTAACTTTTACTCTCTCTGTCGCCCAGATCCAAAGGTAGAGATAAGAGAAAATGAAAGGCTATTTCTTTCAGGACTTTTTCTGTAGGTATCTGAACTCTAACTCCACAAGAGGGAATGCCACAATTGTGGCAGGATAATAATTACGTAGTATTAACCTTGTAATTTTTTTCTTTTTAGTCTTTCTTTCTTCCTTCACAGTAGCCACTTACCCTTCAGGCAGCAAGGCATACGCACTAGTGAATCTTAGTTGAATGGGACAAAAGTAAGGGGCAGTAACTGAAACTTTAGAAAGTTTTGGGGATTTCAGAGTAAAAGGGTCATTTCTTCTAGGCTTTAAGGACTAAAGGCAGCAAGAGGGCAGAAAACCAGTTTCCCTTGCCCAGATCTGTGCAAGAGCAGAAGACATGTCATGTGACTAAGTAGACAGACCTAAGTGAGGCTCACAGAGACCCTGGTGCCATGTTATGAAGAGGGAGCAGCAGAAGGACCCCTAGCCTCCTAGCTGGACATGAAAGCACAACTTTCACAGTCCAAAGTGGCATCCCATTCTCCTAATGGGAGAAATTACACTGTGTGATTACCAGAACTCATTCCTTTTCTTCCTGAGCACACAACTAAACTACATTTCCTAACACTGCACTGTAGTCATTAGGAAAATGGGACTGACTTTTAAAACCTTTATGAACCTCCATGTGCAAACTTTTCCCTTATCTTTAAGTTGAATATATATAAACCATGATTTATGGAGGAAACATGAGTTTAGAAAATGGCAGTTACTGAATCAGGGGTTCTTAATCTGGAGCCATTAATAGAATTTAGGAGAATCATGACCTTGGATTTAGAATTTTAAAAATTCTGCAAATTCACTATTTCTACCTGAAATTTTGCATTTTCTTTCATCATAAAATGTAGGCACCAATAAACTGTAATGCTGGCAATACTTGTTACTCTGTTATCAGTAAAAACACAGGTATTTTCAGATTATACTGCAATTTTGGAACTATCTAAAAATATCATTTATGCTTAAATTTTCTTTTCACTAATTAGACCTACTCTTGGATTTTTTTATTTCACATGCCAATAAAGGACATGAATAATACAAATTTATTTTAAAAGTTTGATAATCAATAAAATTAATTTCCTTTGAAATCCCATACACTTTTTATGCCTTTTAAAAACATATTCCTTTTAAAAACAATTTTCTGAGATGGGGTCCTTGGGCTTCATCAGATTGCCAAAAGGGGCAATGGAATATAACAAAGAACAATTTGTTCTAGATGGTTCCTGAATGACTTCAAGGAACAAGGTCCCACTTTTCCTCTCTCCTCTGTATCTCCACACACTGCTAACCCACACTGAACTTTAATATGAGAAATAAGCTATTAAATTATTGAGATTTGAAGGGTATTTTTGGTTAGCCTATGCAGACTAACACCCTTGTTACCAAAGTGGCCCAAACATGGCAGAGACCCGAGAAGCTCACTGGCTGGACAGGACCTAGACGTGAATAGTGGGGATCAAAGATTAGATGAAACCAGTGAAAATGTCTCAGTAGATATCAACCTGAAAAGAGAATGATACTCAGGACCAGAAATACATCCTTCAGCTTAACGTTTAATTATAGTTAAATAAACACTTCAATTATTCCTGTTTGTACAGTGAAATTTAAAACCATCATATAATATTTTTCTTATTTGTATTTCCCTTCCCCTACTACTATTAGTAGTATTAATTCTCAAAGTAAATATTAAATGCTTTTGAATTCATTGCTTTAAAACTTAAAAAAACATATACATATCAGTTCTGTTACCATGTAACATAAGACACAATCCAACATCCACAAAGATGTGATCAATATTGCGTAAGTCCTTCTATACAAGAATCTGGAACTTGGTCATTCTTTAAAAGACTTGGTGATTTAAATAAAATAGTCTTAATGGAAACCTCCAGGGTTTCAAGACAGGTATAAATTTGACAACAGTTCTCTCAGACCTTAAGTTTTGTTTGATTTTACTTCCTTTTTACACTCTCCTATTGCCTTTATCTTACAAAAGAATCAGATATTTTGAAATCTTCATGTTGTTAAAAGTCAGATGCAAAGACACCTCTGAGGGTAGAATCTAACCCCATGAATTAAATAACCTATGACTCTCTGAATGAAAACAAGTTTTAGTGTGCTATACAGTTTGGGTTTCAGCATTAAATGTTTGAAAAATAGCTGTTTATTCTTAATGCTATATTATATAATTTAAACATCAACCTGTCCTGATAACTGTTGTATACCAAGCTCCAAACCTCATGCCTGGCAAATAAAATTTTTGTGAATGAATAAAGCAATCAGTTAGCATTTATTTTAATCATATGCAGTGTAAGTCGCTCATGACTGGACTTTGTAATGTTAAAGTTGTAGCCTTTTTCACATGTAAGGTTAAGTAGCTAGGTTTAAAATTTGAAGCTTTCAGGGCCTCCCCGGTGGCGCAGCGATTGAGTGCTGGGTTGCGAAGCTGCCTGCAGCCTCTGAAGCGCTGGTTCGATCCCCGGCTGTTCCCCGGCCACCAGAGGAGGGTCTGACATGGCGTGCAGACCTCTCCTGCCGCCCGCTGCTCTCCTCAGCAGTGTACTTCGGTCCTTCTGCCTGCTCTGCTCCCCGCTCTGGCTCTGGTGAATTCTCTCACCCTCCCGTGCTTCTGACTGTACCCAGTGCTTGTATAAATAAATGAATAATAAATAAACAAATCTTTAAAAAAAAAAAATTGAAGCTTTTAAATAGACAGTGGCTTATTGACCTTTGAAATTTTTTAAGGTATTACAAAGTCTTTTAAAAATACTTTAAGCACCTGCATAGTTATAATTAGTGTGCATTAGGAAGTACAATAATTATTGTCACTTTTTAACTTTTCATGTTAATTTTCACACATTCAAAAGAATAGTATAGGGAAATGAACCCCTCAAGTACCCATTACCCAAATTCAGTAACAATATGCTGCCATTCTTATTTTATCTTTCTGTGCCTGGCCTTTTTTTTTTCTTTTTCCTTTTTTGCTAGAGCATTTAATTTTTTTCATAAAGATTTATTTATTTATGCATACCAGAACTGGGGTACAGGCCAGAGGTGTTGGGGAGGGGGTGAGAGGATTCACCAGACACAGAGTGGGAACAGAACAGGCAGACTGACTGAAATATACTGTTGAGGGGAGCAGCAGGCAAGATAGGAGAGGTCTGCTGCGCCATGTGGGTAGCTCCCTCGTCAACCTGGGATCAAACTCACTGCACAGTGCTGTGCTTAACCCCTTGCACCACCAGGAGGCCCCTGCTAGAACATTTTAAAGAAACTCTAGGCATCATATATATTTTTTTCACCTCTAATACTTTAGTATATTTGTTCAATGAATAAAGTTTGGTTTTCTTTTTTGCATGTGTGTTTTTTTTTTTTTTAACCACAATACTATTTAGCTCACTTAAAATTATTAACAATTCAATAGCATATAGTTCATGCTCAAAATTTTCCTGGTTGTTTCAAAAATTTCTTGTATTTGGTTTGAATCATCACTCAATATCTACAATAGTTGCAGTTAGTTACTATAGCTCTAAAGTGTGTTAAGAGATAAATTCCACCTCCCTTTTGTTTTTTTAAAAAGATATTTAGGCCTCCCTGGTGGAGCAAGGGATAAAGACACCACCTATGAAGCTATCAGTAGCCACTGCAGCAAGAGTTCAATCCCCAGCCAAGGAGCTACCCACATGGTGCAGCAGACCTCTCCTGACTTGCCCACTTCTCCCCTCAGCAGTGTATATTGGTCAGTCTGCCTGTTCTGTTCCTCACTCTGTCTCTGGTGAATCCTCTTACTCTCCTGCGCATCTGGCCTGTATCCCAGTTTTTGTATGCATAAATAAATAAATCTTTAAAAAAAAAAGACATTTATTTGTTGAAGAAACTAGGCTATTTGTTCTGTAGAAATTCTCTCATTCTGTATTTGTTGATTGTATTATAATATTGTTTACTGTGTCCCTCTATTTTTGGTAAAAATTGTAGGTCTAGAGTCTTGTTTGGACTCAGGATGAATTTTATATACACACACTATACAATTTTCTTTTGGCAAGAATATTTCATATGTGGTACTGTGCATTTGCTACTGCATTAGGAGGTGCATGTTTATCCTTTTAGTGATACCATGCTTGACTAGTGACTTCAGGGCTGTCAGCCTGATCCATCATTACAGTGCTCCAACTTGCACTTAATAATATTAGCTATTGGTGACAGTTGGCTACATCTATTATTTCATTGCGTTGCAAAATGGCAGTTTTATAATTTTAGCATTCTTTCTGCATTATTAGTTATAATTCTATAAAGAAATTTCAGGATACCATGAAATATAATTCACACCAAAAAATTGTTTCTTTTACTGAATTTAATCTATTTTCAGAATATTAACTTCTTACTAGCTTCCAATAATGAGCAATGAATTTTCCCCCAGATATCTACACTCCTCCCCAATATCTCAGGTAATTTTCACTGTGAATTTAGCAAGACTACAATGGGATGGGCTTGGACAGGTGAGAGACGGTGCAGAGATTTAGGGTAGAAAGGAATAGGTCAGGGAAGAGAGAATACCTGAAACAGGTTCTAGGAGGTAGAATCTGAGTCTCCTGAGCTGTCCTGGACATCATTGCTCTTCGTGGTCTCACCAGGTTCCTTGTTGTCACTGCCACTGCCATCAGCAGCTGGATTCTTCTTCTGACAGGTCTCTTTGGGGCTGGGAAGTGTGCTGCCCTGGGTCTCCAGGTTCTCCCTGGAGCCCAGCACCACATACCCACCCTTCTTCAGCTCTAGCTGCCGTCTCAGCTCCTCTGCCATCTGCGAGAGATCCCGCTTCATAGCATAAGCGTCTTCCCCATCTGCATAGTATTTGGGTTCCACCTCACTAACCTGAAAGTTGAGGGTGTTAGAATAGAGATGCAAGGCTGCCCGGTTACTCTTCCTGACATGCAGGGACACATATTTGGCACTGAAATTCTCTATCATGGCCCGGGAGGCCTGGTCCATCAACTTCTGGGCCAGGCCGAGGCGCCGGTGTGAACGCTTGACGGCCAATGAGGTGATATGTCCATGGGGGACATCTTCTGGGTCCTCCTCCATTTTGGCCAGGACGTAGCCCACAATCTTCCCGTCCTCGTCCTCGGCGATATAAGAGAGCTGGGGCCAGGAAAGGCCATGGTAGAAATAGTATTTCATCTGGTAGTTCTCAGGAAGGCAAAGGAGATTGCAGTGCTGCATGTTCATCAGATCGTCCGGCCGAGCATTGCGGATGTTCATATTGGCGGCGGCTGGTGATACGGCGACGACTGCGGTGATGTGGAAGGGTCAAAGCCAAAAGCAAGGGTCACTATTTGCCTCGGGAGCTTGGGGCCAGGGGCCTGAAACCGCGGGGCTGGGTGGTGTGGGTGAGGGGTGGCGGGAAGGCGGGGCGGCCAGCAGGCGGAAGGGGAGCGCACAAGGGACTTCCGGAATGCGCCACCTCGTCCCAGCCAATGAGCGTTCCCCGCGTTGTGCGTGCGCATGCGCAAAGCGTGGCGGGTGGGCAGGCGCGCTTGTTTGTTATCTGGCTGGTTCAAAAGGTGATACTGTTTTCTTTCAATTTTAACTTTTTTTAATTTGGATACATGTGGATCAGTTTTCATGAACCAAACAACCCGTGTAACCAGAATTTAGATCAAGAACCAGAACATTATACACAACCCAGAAGGCCTCTACATGTTCCCTTCAGTGTCCTTTGCCTCCACCCCACATCCCAAGACTAAATAATCGCTTAGACTTTAGACAGTCTTTATAAGGATGGAATAAGGCGGGTGGGACTTGTATAGGGACTATAACCAAGATGAAAATGCATACATTGTGCAAAAATGAAAAATGATGTAAAAATATATTTTAAAAAACTAGCATTAATCACTAAAAATAATAATGAAGTTCTAAAGTTATTTAAAATGATTTTCAGAACAGTTGAATTTTAGGACTGCAAAAATAATGAAGCAGACATGGGAACTAAATTTACTGGTATTTATGTTGGTAGTTTATATATGTATTTAATTGTAAAAATAATTTGTTTTGAGTTTATAATCAAAAAAATAAAATGAAATGTATGTGTATGCAAAAAAAAAAAAGAATGTAATTGTAATGCAGCTTTCTTGTTGGTTTTTGTTTGTTTGTTTTTACTCAGTATTTGTTTCAGCTGTCTTTCCTGTGTGTGGTGGTGAGTTCTTCATATTCTTTTGTGTTTGATGTCACATTTCATAAATATCACACAATTAAAAATCTATGTTGTCTATTGCCATTTGTTTTATTTCATTTGGGAATGGTCTAAATAACGTAGCTAAATGTTCTGGAACGTGTTTTTTCTAAAAAAAAGGATTTTTTTGACATATGCATGTTTAGCTGGGATAAGAATTGCAGGCTTAAAACATATTGTGGGGCCTCCCCTGGTGGTGCAGGCGGCTGAGCGCCACACTATGAAGCTGTCCGCAGCCTCTGCAGCTCCGGTTCGATCCCTGGGGAGGGTCCAACATGGCGCGGCAGACCTCTCCTGTCGGGCCCACTGCTCCCCTCCATTTCGTCAGTCTGCCTATTCTGTTCCCCGCCCTGTCTCTGGTGAATCCTCTCACCCTCCTGCGCATCTGGCCTATACCCTGGTTCTTGTATGAATAAATAAATAAATCTTAAAATAAAACATATTGTGATGTTCAACTTTTAAATATAATGCTAAGCAATTTTCCAAAGTGTTTATTTCCTCATCTATCCTCATCTAAGATGTTATTTCCTCACCTTTTCATTTTAGTCATCCTTATGTATTGATGGTGGTATTACATTGTGGTTGTATTTTGCATTTCTCTGATGACAAAAGTGACATAGTTCTTCAAATCTCTTATGTTTTGTGTGTATTTTTTGCTCTCGTTCATGGTTATGTTTTGTTTTTTTTTTTCAATTCTCGATATGACTCCTTTGTCAGATATCTTATAGTGGAAAATATCCTTCTCTATTGGTTGATATTTTTCACTCTCAGTGGTAAGCTTTGGCACTAAGTGTGAATTTAAATAGAGTCCAGTTTTCCCAGTTTTCAGATTTCATGGTTACAATTTTGTCTCAATTTAAATAGTTAATTAAAAAGATAAATTTCATGGTTAGTGTTTTTTGTGTCCTGTTTAAGAAACCATTGCTTATTCATATTCACTGAGATATTCCTACATTTTATCACAAAAGCTTTATTTATCTTATTTTATATTTATCTTTAGATCTGTAATCCTTTAGAGATTATTATGAAGTAGAGATTTATTTAAAATTTTTTTTTGCCTTTATGGATATTCTATTCCTCTAGCTCCATTTAATGGGTGAAAAATTAGTCTTTCCCCATTGTTTTGCAATGTTGCCATTGTCATAAAACCTAAATTGCATTTCTAGATACATTTAAAACACTTTATTCCACATTGATAAAGCAAGACTGAGATGTTTCTTTAATAGTGCAGGGAATCACATTTACTGGTACCACTTACATATAAAGTGACGATAAGGGGCCTCCCTGGTGAGGCAAGGGGTAAAGCACAGCCTCTGCAGCACAAGTTCAAACCCCAGCCAGCCAGGGAGCTACCCACATGGCACAGCAGACCTCTCCTGTTTCGCCTGCTGCTACCCTCAGCAGTGTGTATCAGTCAGTCTGCCTGTTCTCTTCCCCGTTCTGTCTCTGGTGAATCCTTTCACCCCTGCACCTCTGGCCTGTACTCCAGTTCTTGTATGCACAAATAAATAAATCTTAAAAACAAAACAAAACATGTAAACTGACAATAAGCCCTGGAATTATCTATATATCCTATACAATCTAACTTTCCATTTTCCTAATATGTTATTCATTTCCTGGGAACTCAAACTAGGATGTCTCTGGTTTTTTGTTTGCATTACAAAAGGACATTCTAATTAGAAAAAGAAGAAAAATAGAAGTACCTGCATAGTTACAGTGGGCCACAAGTGTTGCCCGTAGCCTCTGTTCTTATAGCATTAACTAGGTCATGGTTATATGCTGATTCATTTAGCATGTGTGTGCAGCATTTTCTCCAAGGAGGTACACACTCCTTTACTAGCTAAAATAGTATAAAGCCATGTGATTTTTGAAACATAACTTATATAGTTACTTTTTTTGTAAGTTAGCAGTTACCTTTTTATTAATAAATTTTTACAATTTAAGGATCTTTTGATGTTTTGATTGACTCTGTAGTACATTAAAAAAGTTATTTCCCAGTTTTATTTATAAATTTCTTTTACATGACTCTTCACTTCAGGGAAAGGGATATAAGATTTGTGATGACATAGCTCTAACCTGCATAATTCAAAACAATCATTTGATTGATTCTTCTATAGTAGTTTTCTTTTTTTTTTTAAAGATTTATTTATTTATTTATACAAGCACTGGGTACAGTCAGAAGCGCAGGAGGGTGAGAGAATTCACCAGAGCCAGAGCAGAGAGCAGAACAGGCAGACTGACAAAGTACACTGTTGAGGGGAGCAGGGGGCGGCAGGAGAGGTCTGTGCGCCATGTGGGACCCTCACCCCGCGGCCGGATATCGAACCGGCGTTGCAGAGGCTGCAGGCAGCTTCGCAACCCATCGCTCAACCACTGCACCACTGGGGAGGCCCTCTTCTATAATAGTTTCTTCTTCAAAAAGTATGTTCTGTCAAAATTTGGAGACAAGGAAATACTATTCAGCCACAAAAAGGATGAACTCTTGCCATTTATGACAATATGGTTGGAATTGAAGGGGATTTTTCAAAGTGAAATAAGCTGGAGGGAGAAAGAAAATACTGGATGATTTCTCTCATGTGAAATATAGAGAAATGAAACAAAGGAAATAACAAAATTAAAAAACAAAGCCTAGGTATATGACTGCAGCATTGAGGCTAGTAAAGAGTGGGAGTGGAAACTGAATGGGGAAGGGCCTAATGGTATATGACAAAGGAATATGGATGCTTGGTGGTAGCTGGAGTGTGGTGATATACATGTGGGGAGGTGTGAACCCACTCCCCTGAATCATATATAGTGCTATAAACCAATGTCACCTCAATTAAAAAAAAAATCAGTAAAGGAATGCATGGCACCAGACCTTTTGGTAGTCAGTGTGCTAAGATATATATAAATCTCAAGGTGTAAAGCTGTTGTAAACCAGTGATATATCAATAAAATTTTATTTTAAAAAAATCTAAATTCTTGGGTCTCACCCTGGATCTATTCTAGAAACTTTGATCCAGCAATTTTATCAACAAGTGATTCTGATGCACTGAAAGGTGAGGACCAGTGATAGATATAAAATCAATTCAGAACATATCACTTCTGATCAACACCCTTTATAGTCTCTTTTGCCAACACAATGTAAGCATGCATTTTATGCCCTTCTAAATAAGTCTTGTACAACAGAGCACCAGTTTATATTTCCTTATATAGGTGTAGTATATATTGCAATTTGATAGGCACTCCATTCCTCTTTTCACGCTTCCCAATAGAGCAGGTCCTCAAATACTGCTTTTGTTATAATGTTGAGGAAAAAAAATCCATCTCGATGAAGTCATGTTGTTGGAAGATCAGCTTTCGTTATATACATTTAAATTTCCTAGGGTCGTTTCCTGCCTGGCCCCTGACTGACGGTGGAATTAGAGTTATTGACTATGTCTTTATTGTAATTTAAATTTTGTATTATTTTCCCTGTCTGACATACAAAACCTAGATATTCCAACCACTAATAAATGATAATAAGGCAAAATATTCAAAGGCAGTCATGAATTCACTGTCTTCAGATATGAGAAGGGAAGACCCATTTAAATTTGTAGAATGCCCGCTGGCAGAAGTGCCACAAACCTTTTCTACCAGCTATAGATTATTTCCAGATAAGTGTTTCAGTCCCAATTGTCGGGAGTGCCATTAGGAAACCAAGCACTACCAAGGACTTTGGCGATGGTTAGAAGTCACTGGTAGTTAGTATTGTGTCAGCAGCAATTTGTATGACAGATAATGAGCATCAGTGCATGGAAATAGATACAGGAGTAAAAAATGACAATAGAGAGAGTGATGACCAGAAACTAGCTGTTATATCTAAAGAGAAGCGGTGGCATAAAAAAGTCATGCTGGGCATTGTAAGAAGAAATGACTTCCATCTTGATTCAATCACTCATTTAACTGTGATCTTGGGCAGGTCACTTAACTTCTCTGGGTTTTCTCTTTTCTACTTTAGAAGATGAGAATCCATACAACAACCCTGCTATTTTGTTTTGAGAGTGAAATGGGGTAATGTATGTAAGACCTTCCTGTAAAAAATTGCTAATTATTATAAAAAATGACTTAAAAGAAGTTATCTTGAAGCCCTGAAGTTGAAAGATACACTTGGTTGAAAGGTACACTTGGTAAGAACAAAAATAGGCAAAGGAAATATGGCAAGTAC